CTCTCCTGCTGGATTCAGCTTCTTCAGGGAGAAAGCAATCTTGGTAAAAAAGAACCTTAACACAGTGCATGGCATGTAAAAATCATTCCAGTGAACTGTTGTATGAGGTATGATTTTAAATTGTAGTGAATGCTCAAATTTTAAAAAAATAATTACAGTAACAGACATGTGGCCATTAGTCCCCCTACAAATACTCCCCTGCCGTTGCTTCAAACACACTCAGCCCATCATTCTTGCCGCTTTCGGAAGCAGTTCTGAAAGTCCTTTTTCACGTCCTTAGTTGCGCTGTTGTGGCTGCCTCAGTGACCTAAATTGATTCTAAAGGTTCACCTTTCCTGGTCATTTTGGCGTTGGGGAAGAGCCAGAAGTTGCACGATGCCAGATTTGATGAACAAGACAGATGCGGAATCACCCTCGTGTCTTTAGGAGCCCACCTCTTCTTGCTTGGGTGGCGCTTGGCAGTGGCGCTCACTGTACTGCTTTATCACACCTTGTGAAGACACGAAAGAGGACTTCCAGAACTGCTTCAGAAAGTGGGAAGGACGGTGGGATGAGTGCATTTGGAGCAAAGAGGAATATTTTGAAGGGGATTAATAGCCATGTGTCTTTCTTTTACTGTAATGGTTTTCTTAAAAAATTTAGACATTCATCATATGTTTGGTCACTCCTTACATTAGGAAGTCAGAGCATGAAAGAGGATGGAAGGTGATGAGATAATTCAAACCTCTCTGAGGCAGGGAGAGAGAGGACAGGGAGTTAGCTCTGTAGTAGAGAGCTTGTCCGGCACTCACAGGACTCTGGGTTCACTGCCTAATAAGACACACACATGTGAGCACCAGAGGGAAAAGTAGTTGGCAGTTGTTTTTTAACCAAGGGTTTATGCTGGGCCATTTTACTTTGTTTTTTTGTAAATAATCAAGAGTTTAATACAAGACCAGGCTGATGGGTAAATGAAAGTTTCTCCAACATCAGAGGAGTGAATAGGAAAATGAATTATAAATGGCTGGCTGCTTTTATTCCAGGAAACAAATTATTATGACTTGTTTTCTTTTTTTTTTTTTTTACTATTATGACTCTTTTACAAGCATCTCAGAGCCTGTAGTGTGATCAGTGAGACAAAGCATATCCTACTTCTATAGGCAGCGATGAACTATAAGACACTGCTTTACCTTAGGGAACAGACTTTGGAGCCACCATAGATTCTGCGAAATGTTAGGCATTATCAGAATGGGAACTAGAAACCAAAGAGAATAATCTCCACCCTTACACAAAAGGGTGTCAAACTCTTCCTGGGAATTTTGCTTGCCATACTTTTTGCAGTACTCCAAAGACAAATCCCTGTTAGGTGTCCTGAGATGGTCCTGGAGGAAAGAGTCAGTCCAGTGTTGGAAGAGATGTCAAGAACCTGGACCACTTAATTAGTAAAGGAATGCTGGGGAGATGATGATGGTGATGATGGTGGTAGTGGTGATGGTGATGATCATATGATTAATATTTGCAAGTGCTAATGCTATGCCAGGTGCTGGGCTTTACCTGTTACTTCATTTCGTTCTTACTACATTCTTTCCTATGAGGTGAGAACAATAGTCTTACCTATATTACAGATGAGAAAAAATGAAGCTTAGAGAAGTTAAGGGAGAGGTCCAAGGGCACACAGTTAGTGGGTGGTAAAACTAGGACTTGAACCCAGGTTTTCATGCCCAGAAAGTTTGAGTTGCTAGTGCTGTAGTTGATGATCTGAGGACTAAAGTTGTAAATCTTTTTTTTCTTTTTTGAGACAGGGTCTTGCTATATAATTCAGGCTGACCTTTGAACTCACTGTATAGCCTAGGCTGGCCTCAAACTCAAGGTAATCTTCTGGCCTCAACCTCCCAAGTTTGTAGCAACAATCCTCCTGCCTCCGCGCATGCCTGGGGAGGCTAAGGCAGGAGGATTGTTGCAAGTTTGAGACCAGCCTGGGCTACAAAGTGAGCTCAAGGCCAGCCTGAACTGCAGAGTGAGACCTTGTCTCAAAAAAAGACAAAAAACAAAAAACAAACAAACAAAAAAACCTCCCAAGTGCTGGGATTACAGGCATGAACCACCATGCCTAGTTTAAATTGTAAATCTGGAAGGGCACAGAAAAAAGGAACAAATCTCAGAATAATGCAATAGGTGTGTGTTGGTTTGGGGCTTATTTTGCAAGGGGAACAACATAATACAGGACACATACTTTATATGATTATTTATAAGT